TCTCACCTGCTCTACTATCAATATTAACTAAAACAATACCATCCAAATATACATTATACATGGCCGAACTACCTTTGGTTGACACCCAAATTTTTTGAAAAAATAAAATTAATTATTATTTTTAAAAAATATTAATTCCACTTTGAAAATAAAATGAATGTCTCTACCTAATTAAATATATATATTTTAATTCTAACGTTATAATCTAAATTTTCTAATCGAGAATTTATGCTCTATCACCAGAGCTTGCTTGGTATCTCTATATGCTCTGAATGTCCCACTTTCACTGACAAGAGATCATTGTGATACGCTAATCAAATAATACAACACCGGATTGACTTTATTCCTCAGCTATAACTTGTTTTTATTTTATAATGCGCATGAAGTTAACGTCGCATCGAAGGGCTTATAATATTTATGATAATGATTAAAGAAATAGGGTAAATGAATTAAGTAGGAATTAGCATGTCAACGGCACCCACACCAACTCCCCCCATGGAGTCAAATTCTGTGATCCCTGTTTCACAAGAATAACTAGGGGAACTCAAATATTATACGGCATGAACAAAATAATGTGAATATACTCATATGTTAACATATATTACAGAAACAATTAAAGGTGTATTACATTCAATGTACTTAATTATGGGTTTAATAACAAAGATGCTACTTTTTTTTTTTAAAAAAAAGTTATAAACAAATCATTCAATAGTAACACGACCTAGTATAATAATATTTTTAATCTTTAAAACTTACATGATTTATCAATTTAGTCTTGATTGAAATGACTCAATAAATTTAACTATTCATATTTAAAGATTTCATCAGTTTAATCTTTGTTTTTCTCACATAAATGTTATATTACTTTCCTGGTATAATAAAATTTAACAATAACTTCTTGTTATTTTATGACATAATGCACTTATCTAACTACTGCTTCAATTTGTTGGGCTTCTTTGATTTGATAATATCCTAAAAACGAATAAATTAGTAGATTTTTTAAATATGAAGAGTTAAACTCGTTGAATTATTTCGAATAAAGATAATATTGATAGAATGTATAAATTTTGAAGACTAAAAATAATATTATACTCAAATACATTTAACTTTTGTTTTAATTTTAACGACGAAATAACATGTTTGTAATAACTGAATGACATGTTTACAACTTTTAAAGAGAAAAATGACTTAACTAAACTCACAATGCGACTGAGCGTAATTTACCCAATGAATCAAAATTTATATAAACATATAACATATAGAGAAAGGTCACAACAGAAGTTATTAATGGTTTTAATTAAATATTTTCTCATAATAATTTTGAACAAGAAGCGCGATTATAACATAAAAACATACCAACATGACTGATTTATGACAATGCTCTGGAAATTTATAGTGGCTACATTTTATTCCCATGACTCATGCACCTAATGCTCGGAGAAGACATTTTTAATTTACAAGTCAAAGTGTTCATGTGTCAACGACTTTCTAAAAAACTAATGAGGTAATTGTATGATTAGTTATTGAAGTTTTTTTTGGCTTATCTTATTATAATAAAAGAGTTATGGTTTGGTGAATAAACTCTTCATAAATTCAATCAACTATTACAAGTTAATGGTAAAATCTCAAGAGGCCACACTATCAATTTTTAAAATTAAAATTTCAAATATTAATAAAATGAATAAATCATCATTTTGAATTTTATCATCAATGTTTCATTTACATAGCCTCATACACCTTTACTTATTATTACTTTTTAAAAGTAGCTTCATACACCTATATCTTTTTTAGTAATGACAATTAGAATCTATTAATAAAACATTAAAAATATCAGAATTACAATGCAAACAAACATAGTAAGAAAAATGAAGACAATGGTTATTAAAAAAATTCATAAAAGAATATAAATATTAGACTCAAATATACGAAAAAAATAAAACATTCTTTTGAGAATGACGATCAACATCAAAAGAATTCAGTAACCTTCATAAAAAATATTTTATCTTTGTTGAACGAAACGTTTTACGAAGTAATAAAGGACTATTGAACGAACCAAACTATTTGGCAGACTATTTCACTATATAATTTTAATTATATCAACAGACAACCTTTTACCAAAGAGGGTATCTTATTATATGTAACCACCGACAAACTAATTAGAAAATAAATGTCTTGAAGGTCTCTGTGCGAGCACCAAAACGACCGTAAATGTATTCGTAAAACATATCAAAAGTCATAAGAATCGTGCAACAATAGCATAAAAAACACATACCACAAGAACAAAGAAAAACATGTAAGGATAACATAGATTCTTATTCAAAATTAAAAAAAAAAACTTAAAAAAGGAAAAGGAAAATAAAGGACATAGTATGTAAAACAACAGAGCTAATAATTATTGGTGGTCAACAATCAACATTAATACTAATGTCGCTACCGGCTAAACAAAAATCAAAGGATAAAAAAGAAGACAACACAAAATAAAATAAAAAAAGAACTAGGATTAAACTATTGTTTTTTTAGGAAAGTGTTTTACATATTAAATCTTGAAAAACAACGTAAACCTTTATCCTTTTATCGTCATTTTTTGTGCAATTGAATATAATAAATTATTTAAGCAATCTTTTGGAGTCTATAATATGGAAATTTCGTGGAATGTGACATATAAATAAAGATATAATTTTTTTTCTCTCACAATTCTAAGGCTTTGCCTTAATTAGTCTTGACCAAACCACGTCACACACCTGGTTTTAGTGGGTAAGTCTCCAAACAATAATTTTCTACATACACAAGAATTCGAACTCAAGACCTTATTTAAGTGATATCAAGTTGCTTACTACTTAAACCTAACCCTTATTCAGATAATCATACATTTTATGAGTTAATGCCATCTAGGTTTGCAACTATAGAGGCGGGCATTTAATTTGAGTATGCATGGTCTCCATCTACGTTAGTAAGCAGAGAACAAAAATCATAAGGATGTGCCCCAAATATTATTATAATATCATATGTATTGAGATATCCAGTCTTAACATTGATTTTAATTTGTGCACGAATCAAACGACTTCGGTAATAGAGGATTTATTGTTATTCTTTGAGATCTCAGGTTCGAGCACTAGGAATGTCAGAGGTGTGAGCGTTCAATGTTGAGAATTATCTTTAAACATATACTGTCTACACTAAAATTTACTCAAATCTAATTGATGGCACGAGACACAAGGTAAAAATAGTGACATGCGGGGACGAACGTATGATTTTTATGTTATGAGGACAAACTTAAACTTAATGAGGATGAATTAAAATTCTAGGGGTGAAATAAAATTCTAGTAGCCGAAACAAATTTTCAATAAAAAAATACATAACTAAAATTTAAAATTAGCGACTTGCTTAATCAGTGTCACATTTTACATTTCTATCCTGAAAGAATTAAACAAGTGCTATGGTGTACATGAAAAGTCCAGTAATTGCATGCATTATCATTAATGAATTTCTGGGTTATATCACCAATCTTTTCTAGATTTTCCCTTGGGGGAAGTGACAGGTGGTGATCTTAGGAATGAATAAAATAAGTAAAAATTGATAAAGCAAGAGCTTAATTTGTTTGAACTTAGCTATTGTCCTTACTATATCACGCCTAATATTCACCCTAATACATACACAAAAGAATTAATTAGATATTACCCCGCTCAGCACTAAACAAATAAGAGCTAATCTTATGGTAATTTTAAAAAAATACAACGAGTAAGGGGATAAAGAAGAAAGCCTAAACCAAAAAATATCGACAGATAATTAATATGTTAAACACTTAGGTTGATAGAGCCTAGAACTAAAAGAAGTGGTCAAAAAAGGCAAACTAGAAGTCCCAATCCCTACAAGAAGAAGAAGAAGAATGCCTAAGAAAGTACATTAAAGTTACCTTACTCCTTTCTCTAAGCTTATTATTCTATAGTTAATTAACCAGTTTTGTTAACATCTTAATCCAAATCAAAACTACTCAATTCCAATTGTGTTTCCCACAAAACAAGTGGATTATCCATTAGGTTTGAGTCAATTATATGGGTAACAAAGCCAAGCAAGAAGAAATTAGTTTCCCACAAACAAAAGTCAACCAACATTTTGTACGTTTGTTACTATATTATACTCTATATGTATATTATATGTTAAAACAAAAGTTGGCCTAATAGAAATATTTCACTAAATCAATCAAATTAGTTTGCAATTGGCATCAATCATTCCACTTTATTAATATAGTATGCACAACAAGTATCTAAGCTTATCTTGTTATCAAATGACTGATCCCACCCTTTACCAGTTCTCACTCAAAGGAGTCTTAAGCTTTGGTCTTACTGATGATGAAACACAAGTGTTTATATGTCAACGCTGAGATTCTAAGGTTAAGAGAAAAGACAAGCACAAACATACTTTTTTCTTTTTTTTATATATATTGATTACTTGTCATTAATTTTATAATTTTGAATATTTTCGTACATCCGTGATCTCTCGTAATTAACAATGATAACAATTGATCGTTATGTTCAGAATTATGATAAATATAAGATAATGAGAGAAATATGTGTTAATCAAAATCAATAATTTAATGTATGATTAGAATATTAGTATTAGTGCTTTTGAAAATTGATAGTTTTCCTCATGTTAATTTCTATGTAGTTGGGGTTCCGGGGACCCTTCTCTTCCTTTTTGTTAGCATAATAAAATCAAGGAAAAATATTATAGAAAGGAAACCAAGGTCAATGAGTGGTGCTGCTGCTAATTAAAAAGGTTTTGAATACTCAATCCCTTTGGCATTTTCTTGCTTACTTTATTTAAAGTATTGCCTTTTTTATAATTTTCATTTCATTTACTCAGCAACCCTAACTAGCCAACTTGTAATCGTTAGGCCCTGATAAAAATTTAAGCATTTTATGGGAACAAAATGCCTCACGTCACCCACTATTTCTCACCTATAATATCCTGCTATCAACTTTCCCCATTTCCCACAAAACATCTAACTAGCTTTTTTCCTTTGCTTTGAAGAAACAAAACGAAGAAGAAGAAGAAGAAGAAGACATGGGTCGAGCCCCTTGCTGTGACAAAGCTAACGTGAAGAAAGGACCATGGTCACCTGAAGAAGATGCTAAACTCAAGGCTTATATCGAACAGTATGGCACTGGAGGCAATTGGATTGCTCTTCCTCAGAAAATTGGTATATATATATATATATACACCCTAGTTACCCTACATAAAACTTTGTTTTGAACGATATATATATATATATATATATATATATGGTGGGAGCTTATTTGCATGTTTGTTATAAGATTTTGATTTAACTCGACCTTTTGTATTTGTTGGGTAATATTTCATAGGCCTTAAAAGATGTGGGAAGAGTTGCAGGCTGAGATGGCTGAATTATTTGAGGCCAAACATTAAGCATGGTGGATTCTCTGAAGAAGAAGACAACATCATCTGCAGTCTCTATATAAGTATTGGAAGCAGGTAATCAATCCCTCTTTCCTTTTCCTCTCAAACTTTTAGGCTTTGATTGCTTGTCTTATTCTTTTTCCTCGATAGATACCCTTAACAAAAACTATATGCAAAAGCTGCATCTTTTACAGTCAGATCATTTAGATCTTCTTTATTTATGTTGTATTTTATTTTTCATTTCCCTAGGGTTTCTGATATTCTCTCTTTGTTCTTCCATGCTTCGTATTTTTCTTGTTGAGGATACCCTTGATTGAGTTGGATCTACTTTTTAGGTGGTCCATAATTGCTGCACAACTGCCTGGGAGAACTGATAATGATATCAAAAACTACTGGAACACCAAATTAAAGAAGAAACTACTTGGGAGGCACAAACAATCTAACAACATCCATAGGTTATCGTCCTCCAATCAAGACCCTAATGATCATCAGCCCACTGGCTCAGCCTCCGATGATAATCAATTCTCTCCGGGTTTGAGCAACTCGGCGTTGGAACGACTCCAGCTTCATATGCAGCTTCAAGGTCTTCAGAACCCTTTCTCTTTCTATAACAACCCAGCTTTATGGCCTAAGAACATTCACCCCTTGCAAGACAAGATGATCCAAAGCATGCAGACTGCTGCCTCCAATGGAAACCCTAACCTTCTTGTGCAGCCTCTCTTGCCAAACCCTCAGCCTGCAAATGAACAAAGCGTTGATGATCTCTATGATCCAGAAAGTTTCAAAGCCAAGGGGATTGAAGTGCTAGATGATTCTTTGGATAGAATATCTCCATCGGATGGCTCAGTTCCCTTTGGAACCGGAGACAATTTGATGGACTCAACAATTGTGTCAAAGGGAAATGGAAATAATGGTGATGTTCAAGCAGTTTCGAAGTTGCAGGACGAGCTGGACGAGTTTCTTAATAACAAAACAGCGGGTTATCCCCAGGAAGAACAAATATCTGATCAAGTACTGGATTGTTTCAAGGATATGAATGGTTCAAAGGACAGCTTGATGTGGTTGCCGACCGAGTTCAATGCAAAATCAGCATCTTCCAGCTCTTGGAGTTCAACTTCACTCCTTCATTCCAATGGGGTGCTTCAGGATTATGAATTAGGTTACCCTATGTAGTGAGAGACAAAATCAAATGTAGGGACTGGTTTACTCTTTAAGCTTATTTGTGATGAACATAAAGACTGGGAAGACTGCTGGGTTTCATGCAAAAGATATCATGTAAATTCTGTCAATAATAACGTTAATTTCCTTATCAACTGCACTTTTTTTTTCTAGAGCTTCAAACAATAGTAATCCTATGCGACTTGAGAATAATTTCTGATGACCAAACAACATTTGTAACACCCTAGTCCAGTTAGACTTGAAAATCCATGGATTATAATGTTACACGTGACTACTGAAATAGTGACTCAAAAAGTTTCTTTCAAAACTGCTTATAAATATATGAAATTTAGACATCCATAATGTAATATAAAAACATAGTAATAAATTGGGTTTACAATTAATGAGGAGCTTCCAAAATACATCCACAAAAATAATACAAAATATTGAGTTCCAAAACGAGTTGAGACTAAAAACATAATACGCGTCCATAACAGTACATGCCCTCTAAAGATGACTCAAGACGTACTCTGAAAGGTCTCTATAAATCTAAATGGGTTGAAGCAAACCTGATGAGACCTGGTGTTCCGCCTTAACCTGTTGACACACTAGACATGAAACACCCATTCCCCGTATACGCCCCCGTACATGATTCATAGATGTAACATGACTTTTAAAATATTTTCGTACTTGAAAACCAGTAAAATTTTGTTCCTTTAAATAAATTGTTTAATAATATAGTTTATAAAACATTCTTCAAATACATATGTATAAAATAACGTTTAAAATCTATCAAACAGTAGTTTAAGTTCAAACGTAATATAATACTACAACCAAATACCAAGTATCTTATCAGAGCATCACAACAAATCTAAGTGCATGCCAACTAGTAATATCAAAATAAACATCTAGAGATGTCATATTATTACTGATGAGACAACCCTTGACAGATGATATCAACTGCACTCCTGACTCCTATTCGTATATTAAACCTACGCGTGAAAATTCTCACACTCTAAGTATTCACTTAGTGAGGCATAACAAAACAAATAAGGCATTTTAAAAACATGAGTAAACAATTATAAGATCAAAATATGATTTATCGTATAAAGTACATAAACGCATAAAAACTAACTTGATAAGCCAAGTTTTCGTCAAATAACATGCGAAACAATATTTAGTATGTCCAGCATACCTATCAATCGTTATATTTAAAAGTATTCATTCATAGTTCAATATATGTCAAATGAGAATGCAAGGTACATGAGTTGTACATAAGTACTAAACGAAAGTATAAGTATTGTAGTATTGTAGTAACAACGACACTATACTAATATATCGAAATGATAATTCCCAAACTCATTATGAATACTATGCATGCACACATAATGCCGAAATTACACAAAGGTACTGATACGAAAATGCAACGTATGCATTAAACAACATCAATCGACAACCATCATACTCCAAGTATGTCAAAATGCACCTATGACTCTCAATGCACATACAATAGGCCTTTAAATAAAATTCGCAGATTAAACATTTATTATGAAACATCGATAGCTGTTAAAATAATATAAAGCTCATCTATCTATTTTAGGACAGTTCATACCCTAAAATCACCTTAAACCATTTTCATAAACCTTATGAAAATATTTCAAAATATCGCAATCTATCCTCATATCATATAAGTACATAATAAATGCACTCACTTGGTATGCCTCACTATTATGCCATATTATCGAAGTATAATTATTCTTCAACTTTCTCCTTGCTTTTTGCTTTGCTCGTATCACGAGTTTGATCACGATGTACATGAGCATCCATACAAAGCATATACAAATATAAGTTAGTATTATTAGTAACAGTTCATACTTAATAATAATACTCCAAAAGTACTATTATCTTCGAATTCTTCTAGAATTCATCTTACTTTTCCTTTTTATTCATATTGAGCTCTTGTCATTAATTCTTCAATTCAAGGCCCAAATAAGCCCAATAATTTCCAGCATTAAACTTTCATCCCAATTACCTCAACAGTGCCTTATTTACTATTTAATCCACTAACTTTCTCAATATTTACCATTTAGCACTCAAACTTTATCAACTTTCCAAAATAGCTAAATTTCACATTCTAACTTCAATTTCAGTCCCCAAATAGAAATTTCCAGCATATTAAAATAATTATTTAACAATTATGCAATAACCCACAACTTTTTCATAATTTTCGAATTGGTCCCTCAACTTTCACAAAATTACAGATTGGCCCAAAAATTGTCTAAGGCTTGTAGAACCTTTCTAATATCATTTCTAAGCCACATGAAATTTTTCAATTTTTTCCCCATCATCTTCCTCAAGATCGAATGGTTTATGTGCCCAAGACTAGGGTTTCCATGATTTTACTCGATTTTGATTCGATTCAAGCATGAAATCAACTAGATTCAACCTTATACAATCTCTACAATCAAATCCCTAATCAAATTTCATCATAACATAAACTTCCTCCAAGATTAGGGTTAGGTCGAAATTACCCATAGCTTATATAGGCATTTATAGTTGATTTTAATCATAAATCATGCTTGGAATTAATTCTACAACCTCAAAAACATCAAAATACTTCATCAATTCCATAAAACTTAATGTGATCACAAACCCTAAAATTTGTGATCTTTCAACACAAGCCAAATTAGCAAGCAATAATGGTACCAAATGATAGGGTTTTTCGAATAGAACAATTTTCTATTTCACGGCATGATCCAAAATCTAAAAGAAAATGCTAAAAAATGAGAAATAAATTTTCTCTTACCTTGATAGGTGGTGCATGGCCAAGGGGCTGAAAATGGCTAAGTTTTTCATGAAATTTCTAATGAATTTCATGTTAATTTACCTTATATTAAGCTTAAATGAATTAAAAATTCATTTAATGTGAAATGTATATTTTACCATTAATGAAACTTTATATTTAAAATAACATCAAGCCACATAACCTTATCATCTTTCCAAAGTCAAATATTAACAAAATATTTTACCCTTTTCCAATTTTACCAAGCAATTTTCCAAAAATTACAGTCTTGTCACTTTGATCCAACAATTCAAATTAAACATGGAAATAAGTTCTCAAATCCAATGATCCATATTATTTTTCATCATTTTAACATGTGTAAATAATATTTTTTTAAGCCTAATTTATTATCCTTCAATTTTCCCTAAATTTCTATACGATTTGGTTTACCAATTTCTTACCGGCTTTAACTCTTTCTAGTTTTTAATATAAATTCTGGATCAAGAATATGATTTTAATAAAACCCCACTATCAAAATTAAGCTATCTATTTATAGAATAAAAATTATTTTTGGGAAAATTAGACTTGGGTCCCTAAACTTTTCCTAATTTTATACTTTGGCTACTAAACTATCAAAACTTACATTTTGGTCACTAACCAAAATTTGAGGCATTACAAGACATATCTCTACGAACTCAGACACTTCGTGGAGAATCTTACTATGCAACTGAGCGTCTGCGAGTATGATATAACACTTCTCCATCACGAATCTCAAAACCTGGGGCCTCTCACTAACGAACCTGCTCGGACCGAGATTTTAATCGATCATCTGAACTATGTAACCTCTTGACTTCCCCTACTAACTCTGGTTCAACTCGTAGCTCGGCTAATAATCCATCATCACTGGATAAACTCAAACGTACTAGGAGGGCTCACAACTCAGTCATTGTTTTTCTGCTCAAGACGTCTACCACCATAATTGCCTTTCCAGATGATAATCAATTACACAGTCGTAGTCCTTAAGCAATTCAACTTATCTACGTTGTCTGAGGTTCAACTCTTTCTGAGAGAGAAGATAATTGAGGCTATTATGATCGGTGAAAATATGGAACTTCTAACAAAAAATGTAGTGTCGCTAAATCTTTAAAGAGAACACTACTGTTACTAGTTTAAGGCCATGTGTAGGTTAATTACGATCAGAAGGCTTAAGTTGATGGGACACGTATACCATAACTTTACCTTCTTGCATCAAGATGCATCCAAGTACATTCAAAGAAGAATCGTTGAAAATTGTGAAGTCCTTACCTGAATCTTGTTTGGTCAACACTGTGGCTTGGGTCAATATAACCTTTAACTGCTCGAAGCTCTTTTATAATCTTTTATCAACTATAGCCTGAATTTTCCGAGGGTCGACTCTGATGTCATCGGCTAAAATGATATGACCCAAGAATGCCACATCCGATAGTCAAAACTCGTACTTCCCAAATTTGGCATACAACTATATGTCTCTGAGTGTATGAAGAATAATACGGAGATATTGATCATGCTCATCCTATGATCGAGAGTACACTAGGATGTCGTCTATAAACACCACCACAAATTAGTCCAAGAATGGGTGAAAAACGTGATTCATTAGGTCCATGAATGTTGTTGGGGCGTTGGTGAGTCCAAACGATATCACTAAGAACTCTTAATGATCATAACTCGTTTTGAAAGTTGTCTTCATCATATCATCATCCTTGACTTTCAACTTATAGCCGTATGATCGTAGATCAATCTTTGAGAAGACACATGCCCCTCTGAGCTGGTCGAAGAGGTTGTATATCCTAGGGAGTAGGTAACGGTTCTAGATGGTCAACTTATTTAACTGCCTGTAGTTGATGCACAACCTCATCCACCTATATTTCTTCTTAACGAATAGGATCAGTGCTCTCAAGGAGAGATGTTCGGTCGAATGAAACCCTTCTCTAGTAACTCTTGAATCTAAGCTTTTAACTCATTTAGTTTAGTCGGTGCCATGGAATAGGGAGCAATGGATACTGGGGCTAAACCTGTCATTACTTCAATGTCGAACTCCTATTCACGCTCAGGTGGTAAACCTAGTAACCCTTCTGGGAACACATCGGGGAAATCTTACACTATTTGGATATCCTTGAGTATGGGTACTGAGATAAGGGTGTCGACTACATGAGCCATGAAGGCCTCACACCCACTGAATGTCATCTTTTGGGCTTGTATAACTGATACAATCCTCGTCTGATGGGATCTCTCATTGGTCATCACCAACTTGGTTCATTTGACGACTCTGAGCTTAAGTCGCCTGGCTTTACACCTCAAACTGGCATCATGCTCAGTTAATCA